TAAGGTATACTTGAGAAACGTATCTCTAAGGTACTAAGTAGCAAAACCCCACCTCCAGAACAGCACTGCTACTCTGTCCATTAGGGGAGTGTGTGTCTCATGCCAAGCTTACACACTTTATGGCCGTACAGATCCAGCCTCCTGTGAACCTCTGAGGGTATGTCTACACTGCAATGAACACCTGGAGTATAGTTGCTCTGGCAGCACAAGCTCTAGGACCCTTGAGCCTCCAGTCCAGCTGATGGCAGCTTTTCAGGTAGCAACCTCTGCAATTTTTAACCTATCCACTTCTGTGACACATACAGAAAGCTGATGAAATTGTGCATTCATGCAGTTTTGCAGCTTCAGTATTAGAGCTTGTGAACTACAGATCTATAAAGACTTGGGGCTGGTCTACTGCAAAGCTAGAAATTGATCTAAGTTATGTTAGTTCACTTGTGTAACTGAAGGGGATGTACTTAGGGCGACTTACAGCAGTGTCTACACTGTACTATATTGATAGGAGACGCGCTCCTATAAACACAGCTTCTGTCTCTTGGGGAGGTGAAGTACAGCTACTGATGGGAGAGTGCTCGGTCATCAACTTGGCAGCTCTTCACTGGACCTGCTAAATCAACATTGCTACACCAATCGCAGCGGTGCTGATTAAGCCAATAGTATAGACATGGCCTTGCTTTCTAACTTCTGACCATATTAAAGGAATAAAAAAAATAGAGTAGATTTCAATGAAGGAACTACAGAAAACCCACACTGTGCAATGAATTGCATTCGCACTTTCTTGACAATACTTCTATTTGTTATCAGCAAAGCAGTGTGATTTTGATGAACAAATATTTTCTTATGAAGTCAAAGAAGTTGATCCCAGCCTTAAGTGCCCTTCACCGTACAATATTAATCATAGTTGTGATACACTTTACACTTTGGTAGTTTTACATATAATAAAATCGTAGACAAGATTTTAAAAGCTTTGACATTAAAGTTAGGTTCCTAAATCTATATTCTGGTATTTTTAAAAACCAGGCTATTTATTTAATGTGCTATG